CCGGGTTGAAGCTAAGACTCCAGAAAAGAAGCACTTGCATTATTTCCCACCTCCCTAAACCCCACCCCCCTCCCTGCCCGCTCCATCGCCGCCTCGCCAAGAGTTGATTTTTGGATTTTGCCCTTGAGGAATTCTGCCGCTCCGTCAGGAAACAGGGTTGAACGAAGGCTGAGCTTTGACGCTCACGCCTTTGTTGTTTTCACGTTTGTCCAAATTCTCCCGGGGGGGCGGGCGGGGGGGCGGGGATTACCCCTAAAGCCAACAAATCCATCAGACCGGACCGCTGTGCGAGTCTGCAGCAGAGTTTGGAGGGTCAGAAAGTGATCGAATCAGAAACGTGGGGAAAGAGGGGCAGAATTCTTCAGGCTTCGACCTTCAGGGTATTTTTAATCCAGCCGAGTATTTCAATCACTTTAGAGACCTGATGATGTGAATATCTGAGCTTTGCTGAACGTACAGGAATCACAAAACAATCATTCAAGATGAGAGAGAGCTTCAGTGACACCTGAACTCCACCTCCAGCAGCTTTCTACGCTGATCTGAGGGGAGAAGAAGAAGAAGAAGAAGACATCGCCGAGCGCGCCGCAGCTCCGGCTCCGTCCGGGGGAAATGAGTATAAATGGCATCACTTTAGAGAGATGAAGGAAAGTCATTGGACGAGGAGGCAGGTACCACTGAAGCCTCTCTCGGCGCTCGGCTGTAATGAATTACGGTGTCACCGCTCCTTTGCAAAGATATTTATTTATCCTGTTGCAAAAAGCCTGACATGGTGCTAAGCGTTAGACGGAGCCGCCGCTGAAGGGGAGGTAAGCTGTGACGATTCCAACTTCCTATCATGCTTCCTGACAGCCTATCAAAGCATAGCAGTCTAATCTGCATGAGAACTATGCACTGACTAAAAACAGACATCCACACGTGCACTTCGTGGTGGTGGCGCCGCCGCCGCCGCCGCCTCACGTGCACTCTGGTATCTACTTTGTAAAAATGTCAGCCTCTGCCTTCTTTTACGGTCAGTCCTTCCGTTTCCAGATCCCAGCTTCGACGGACCGAACGAGTCAAACGTGAAAAAGAAAAAGAAAAACAAACCAGCATATTCCACGATATATTGAAAAAGATCAAATGTAGTGCCTGTGAAAACCTGTATTATAATGCTCTTCTGAATACTGAATACAATAACAACTGTTTGTAACTGTTGAACTTTCTGACCACCAGTAGCCTTTGCTGTCTGTCAGGCCCCTCTGATTATAGCTAATGTACAATAATCATGAAGTATAACTGCATGCTCTTCTTCCATAACCACCTAGTAAACTCTTAGGATGACGACAAAAGAGAAAAAAAAACAAAGAGACTAAAACCAGATTCTTCTCCTCCTCTGTTTTTTCTCCCTGTACGCCTCAAACTGTCTCACCTCCTCTACCTCCATCTCTTCATCCTCTCACACCCGACTCTTTCATCAACACGCCGCCAAACCGGCGCCGCCGTTTCTCACCGCGTGTCATTGATCTGATGGGTGTGCCACCATGATGACTGCTCCGGGGCCTTCAGCGGACCGCCGCAGCCTCGCCGGGTTTCTTTCGACAATCTCCGGCTAACTTTAGACATCAGCAAACACCCGGCTGGTCTCCCCCCTTCCCTCCCTCCCTCCCTCCCTCCCTCCCTCCCTCTCCCCCCTCTCTTGTCCATTGACCAGCAGCCTGAGAAATCTCTGTGTGGCTCTGGGTGAACCCCCCGCCCCCTCTCCCGGCAGTTTCCTGCAGGAGACTCAATCGATGGCCTCGGCCTCTTTCTGCAGCGCTCAGCACTATCTGCCACTGAACCCCCCCCCCCTCCACTGCGTCTCCCTCGGCTGGACTTCAAACAGACTGCCGCTCCTTCAGGATGAGAAAGGTCTAGGTAGAGAGAGCGGTAGACCTGCACCTGGGAGACCCCCCTCTCCTCCCTCCCCAGTCCCAGGCCAGCTGGGGTCGATCGGCTCGTCTCGCTCACCTCCGTTGGCTCCTCTCTGTTTTCCTGTCGATGCTCTTTGAAACTCAACATTCGCTGCTTCGACTCGTGCGTCTCTTTCAGGCAGCAGCAAACTTTGGGCTGATGTGAAACTTTAGTGATGAGCTGACTCTTCTCCGTTAAAGGACCGTGTCTCTGAAAGTTAGCCGCTTCAGAGTTCAGCCCAACACTTTTACAGGAGTCCGTCTGCCTCCACCCGAGGACAGCTCCAACCTGAAAACTCCATCAGACTGATATCAGGCAGTGTTAGCTTCATGCTAACCTCTGTTTCCTGATTCTATATAACCCCCAATTTCCAACGCATCCAGAACTCTTGTGATCAGCTGAGGAGTCCGGCGATCCGCAGAGGAACGGAAAGAAGTCGGTGTAAATCGACACGTTAACTTGAATGGTTACGATCAGCTACGATCGGAGGATACGACCTTTTAGGAGACGAACAGGATGAAGGTGGAGGTCGGGGGTAAACCTTGAGATGTTGTTAAAAACTGAGGATGCAGCATCTATGATTTACAGTTCCTCGTTGAAAGGACAACTGGACTAACTTGAGACGTTTCGCCTAAGCCGAAACGTCTCAAGTTAGTCCAGTTGTCCTTTCTAAAAGAGTGTTAGGTGACGATCGGCAGACACCGCCTTTTCGTAGCCGTTCCGGATGCGGTGGAAACTGGGGGTGACGGTGAACATCTGTCCCCTTCAGGCTGGACTTCTGAAACGGTCTCTGTGTGGAGTTTCTAATTGTCCAATCAGGTGTGAGCAGGAAATCAGTCTGTATGGAGAGCAAAAGCAGGAGGACCTCAGTTCTCCATCATGACCTCCAGCCCCCATGGTTGGTGATCTGAGTGTCTGAAGAGACGCTGATGTGAGTCACCAAAGACGGTCGGCGTTTAAAAACAGCTGACTCAGACCATCGCTCATCCAAACATCGTCATCGTCGACTTTCTGAAACCAAAATCTCAAAGTTTAGAAACAGAAACTTTAGATCCAGTTTTTTCTACGGTCCAGAGCTGCCGACCTTCACGTGTTTCCAGCCTGTTTTAAATCTGATAACAGAAACTGATAATCGATCAGTTTGATCGGCGTCTCTCGTTGCCTTTTGTCCCGCCCCCTGGAGGCGACGCTAACTGTAGCTAACAAAGACAATCTCGAGGAAGGAGAGCTTTATCTTTATCGATTCCCGGGCGCTGCAGGGCGACCGCGTCCCGCCGCAGTCTGAGTCACACATTTACACCATCACGGCGTCCTTACGTATCCCATCATCCCCTTCTTCACTGCCCAGACCACCACCTCAGAGACCAGACCTCATCCTCATCATGACCACTTTGGTTGGGTTCCTCCATCAGCCGCCTCACCTCCACCCTCACAGAACTGACTTAAACCTTGTGCCTCTACAACTCTTTTATGGAACAGGGCGGCGTTTTCTGCAGCCCCCGCCGCCGCCGCCACCACCGCCACACCGGTCCACGACCCGGTGTTAGTCTTTAGTTCATGGTTTCCTAGTGTCCATTAGTTGTGTCCGGCACCATTAGTTGTCCATTTGTGTGTTTGTTCTGAAGCTGTGAGTTTGCACTGACCTCTTTGTTGTCCTCTCTGACTTACTGCTGTCAGCTTCTATGTTGTCTATCTCTGTTTTGACCTTCTTTGGTTTTCTGACTGTTTCTGTTGAACTGGTGACGTGTAGGCTCATCACTCTCGGCCATTAGTGACTCCATTGTCCACGCAGACTCAATTTACTGGAAGCAAAATGTGCATTTCCTATGCAACACTGACAAAAATAAAGACGCTAATGCTCTATCCTGGTCTGTCCGTCTGTTGTGTTGAAGCATCCGTGTGTGTCGTCTCTGTGTGTGTGTGTGTGTGTGTGTGTCGTCTCTGTCTGTTGTTGTTTCCTCACATTAACATTCAAGAGTTAAACACAAACATTTAAACTGACAGAGGAAATAACACAAACTTATTCAGGGTCTGATCACATCTCACCCCCAATTTTCACCACATCCTGAACGGCTCCGATCCTGAATGGCGGCGATTTTTGCCATCTGACACATAGACATATAAGCAGTAGATTGTGTCCTTCCAGAGGAGGAAATCTACTTCTAGACTTCTAGAATCAGCATCTCCTCATAAATGGTGTCATTCACTTGTTCGTCTCACGGAGCGAGTGGATTTTACGGTAAGTTGCGGTTCGATCCGAGTCCGTGTTGTAGTTGTTCATCTCGGCGTCAGTCCCGGCGCCCATCAGGAACCGTCAAGCATGAAGACGTTGGCGTTGGTATTGTTGCATGTGCCGGTTTAAAACGGACCTTCTGAACTCCAGGATCTCATTAAATCCTGCAGGAGGACCAGCAAATCCTGGTTCCTGATAGATGTGCTGCAGGTGTCTTTGACTCTGGTTTCATGGTCTCCAGTATCCTGGTTCTGATCCGTATCCTGGTCTAGATCCGACTGGGAATAAAGTGTCCAAACGTATAAACATGATAAAAATATCAACATATGAACGAGCAGAGGTGGTCAGCTGATGGCGGCTCCGCCCCTTGTTTATCGCCATAGTAATGTTTCCAGTCGGCCTGACCTGTAAACTCAATTTAACCCTTTCTTTACCCACAGACTGAAATCAGACACAGTGACACAGAGACGGACAGATTCAGACAGAAAGTCCTGCTCAGGTGAAACTCTCTGACAGCAGGAAGGAAACCAAACCTGAGGAAGAAGAAGAAGAAGAAGAAGAAGAAGAACCTGGAATCAGGAGGAGATAAAGAAAAGAGAAGATCATGTTATTATCCAGCGCTCCAAACACCAGTTCACTTTCTTACTAAAAACTACTTTTGTTGAGTTTGTTTGTCGACTCAGGATTTATTAACAAATGAGAAATGTCCTCAACGACTCTAACTCCTGTTGTGTGTGTGTTCGTGTGTGTGTGTTCGTGTGTGTGTGTGTGTGTGTGTGTGTATAAGATGTTTTGTGAAATCCAGGCAGAGTGAGACCTCTGTATCCTGTTCAATCTGTGTTTGATCTGTAACAGAAACACCCTCGCTGTAATCCCGCCTCTCAGCGGTCAGACCTGCTGATATCAGCACTACAGAGTGTGTGTGTGTGTGTGTGTGTGTCTGTGTGTCTGTGGTATCGAACACCTCTAACAGTTTCACAGTTCAAGGATTTCTGGGTTTCACTGTCTCCTGCGGCTACAGCAGAGAAACAGGCAGAAGAGAGAGAGAGAGAGAGAGAGAGAGAGAAAGAGAGAGAGAGTTAGTTTTCGTGGAGCTGAGATTTCTGTATCTTGTCTTGGTGGTGAAACTGAAGTGCAACTCATCTAATGTCATTAAAACATTAAAACATCCACGTCTCACATTTCAGTTTGACATTAATCCTACAGTAACGACCACGATCATTCAGACCGCCGATCTGTCCTGATGAGGGAATAAAAACACCTGAACGGTGGTCAGTTCAGCCGGCAGGTGAAATACTGAGTCTGATCCAACACTTTATGAAGTTAAGACTAAAATAAGATGAGAACATGCAGAGGCAGAGCAGCAGCTCCCTGTCAGAGAAACTCTGTGTCTGTCAGAGTCGTCCTGACGTAATAAAGTCACTTTCATGTTTGAAACGGTTTTTCCTGAACAGGAGCTGTTTTCATCTGTGGAGGCTGGTGTGTTCAAAAAAAGGTTAATTTAAGACGGAGCCTGCTAGGACGCGATATTTTTTTTCATAGGATGGTAGCCAATCAGAGGTGAAGGAGGCGGGACCTTCCCCTATATCACTGGGTCAAGAGCCGTCAGCGCTTAGTTTTACCCTCCCTGAGTTCCGGTAGTTATTTGGGAAGATCTGGTACCGATAATGTTTATAATAATGTTTATATAATAATTCACAGAAAAAATACCAAGAATTTCATGTTTATTAAGATTCATCGTCATTTTAAAACGTCGGAGATCTGCTGACGCACTAAAAAGCGTTCGCGTTTCCTCAGAAGTCGGAGCTGAAAATGACGTCACACCCGGTTACCAGCGTTTCAGGTACAAAGACGGAAAAAAGTAAAATCGGAGGCTGGAAACAAGATGGCTACGTCTACGAAGGTTATTTTATTGCTTGCCTTATATTCGGAGAGGTCAGGCGCTAAAATAACTTTCATAGATGTAGCCATCTTGTTTCAGGCCTACGATTTCGCTTTTGTCCGACTTTGTAACTGAAATGTTGGTAACTCGGGTGTGACGTCATTTTCAGCGCCGGCCTCTGACTTCCGAGGTAACGCGAACGCAGCAAACAGACCACGCCCCCTGACACCGAAAAAAACCTTTAGAAACTCGCCACAGCTGAGGAGCAAACAGAGAAGAGGAGCGTTTACCATTTTAACTTAAACATGTCAGAAAGAGAGAGTTAATTTTACTGTCAAGAAGGAAGAGTTTAATGAGACTTTCAAACGAGTCAGAAAAACCTCCACAGGCGGCGGTGAGGGCAGCAGCTGCAGCGGTCATGGTACCGGTCTAAACCGGCCACAGCAGGAGGCTCGCGCCGCTACAGCTAACCGGGTTCACCGACAGCTAACCGAGCCGGGGCAGGAGGCTGGTACCGGGGAAGGAGGCTGGTTAGGTCTACCGCCAGCAGGAGCCAGATACAGCGGTAACAGGACCACCGACAGGCGGGTATCCTGACATCAGTTAACCCGGTACAACAACCGGAGAAAGAGGCGGGAACCGCGACATCAGCAGCTAGCTTAGAGCAGGAGGATCGAGAAGGAGAGGAGGAGGAGAGGAGAGGACTGAAGGACTGAGGGAGGTCGAGGGTGACCAAAGGACCCAGAACTTTCACAGACAGACGGAGTAAAACCCGAAAAAAGAGGAGGAGGAGAATCCGGACAGGTTCTGATGTGGAGGAGATTTGGACTAAACATGGTGAGTTTACAGTCTGTTAACAGGCCGCCGAGCCAAACTGTGAATAATAATAATATCAGAAGATTTGTGTGATTTATGAATCACTTTTTTAACATTAGACCTGTTGATAAATGAATTTCTGACTGTTTACTGTAAGTCTCATCTGTGGTGATGTGGACATTTGTCTGTGCTGTGAGGAGTATCAGCCTAAAATGATTTAAATGATCTTCATAACATTTATAACATGGATATTATTGAAACTGAGGCAGGTTAGTCATACATGTGGACATTTCCATGTTGTTTTCTGCCGGTTTTTTCTATATAATCCCGGACCTGTGCCCGTCTCCTCATCCCTGAGCTGTCTTATGGACTTTGAGTTTACATTATGATTTAAAATGAAGAACTGGTTCAGAACACCTGTAATATAGAGCTCTATCTCTGCGGGGATCCTCTCTGTTGGACTCTGAGAAGAACTACTGAAGCCTGTCAGGGACAAAAGTAAGACCGTTCACTGACACACTGAATCCTGGTAGATATTAATAATAATAATATAATAACTTTATTTTTATAGCACTTTTAAAAACATAAGTTTACAAAGTGTTTGACAAACAGTTATAAAGCAACAGAACATGGAAATAAAAACAAAAGCTCAGTTAAAAACAAGACGTCTGAACTAAAGGACAATTTCATTTGTTATAAGAAACTCAGAAAATTCAAGAGGGGGGTAGAAAACAGGAAGCAGGACATAAAATATAAAAAGACGATATTAATAATGATAATAACAACATAAAATCATAATGATGGAAATAGTAATGATAAAATGGAATAACAAAAATGAGCAGAAAAAAGAATGAAATCTCTAAAAGGCCTAAAAGGTTAAATAAGAAACTATTATAAGTAAAACAAAGGCTAAAAGGACAGGAAGTCGAAATAAGAGAAAAGAGAGCAAAAAAAACTATTAAATCAAGTCTGTAAAAGTGAGTTTTTAGATTTGACTTAAAGAAGTGACTGTCTCTGCTGTTCGCCTTATCTCCTGGGCTCTGATACTCCCGTCTGTACGGCCTGTTTCTCTGCTGCTGAGCGAATTATCCACAGGAGGTCGTTCGAACCTTTTGGTCCTTCTGTAAATACAGCTGCTTTTTTTTTTAAAGGGTGTGTCAGTGACTAAAACAGAGTTAATCTTTGCCTTTGTCTCCCCCACTTTAAGTTTCCACGCTCCTCTGTCTCCCCCTTTTTCCTCACCCCTCAGTGTGTTGTTGTCGCCTTGGCTCAGACTCTCCCCTGGGTGGAGGGTGGAGGGTGGGAGCTGCCTCACCTTCTCCTCTCAGGTTTCAGGGAGGGAGACGACCGCAGAGGAGCGTGAATAATTCAGCCAGCCGCCAACACCGGGCATCGCCTTTCCACTGCGCGCACACACACACACACACACACACACACACACGCGCGCGTCATAACACACACACGTCAAAACACACACACGTCAAAACACACACACGGCGTGACCTGATATGCCCTCACAGCGACCAGCTAAAGGTCAGCAGGTCAGAGTGAGACTAACAGCCTCCTCTGTGCAGACAGAACACGGCTCCTATCACGGGTTCATTCATGGAGATTCAACCAATCAGGTCAGTTTGAGGAGGAAAACCCTCTGATTGTTCCTCTGAGGACACTTCATTTTAAAGACCAGATGATCATGTGATCAGGGACGATCGAGTGAAACTTCAGAGATGAAGACAGGGAGGTTAAAGTATCAAAAATCAGCAACTGAAGTGTGAGAGCGGGTGACTTATGGAAGAATATAAAGAGTTAATGATGGAGGAGCTGAGGTGGTATATGAAGGGTTAATGATGGAGGTGGTATATGAAGGGTTAATGATGGAGGTGGTTAATAAAGGGTTAATGACGGAGCTAAGGCTGCTGGGAAATGGCAGTCCTCAGGTGAGGTCATGCCTGACTGACACATGGCTGCAGGCGTTGCTGTGAGCGATGCAGACAGTCATGATTAAATATACCGTAATTACCTGAATATAAGCCCCCCCCCAGATCTGTAAAGGACAAATGAGATTTAGGAAATTAAATGGAAATAAAAACAGACCCAAAAATAAAATGACTTGTTTTTAATGTCTTTTTAACAAAATTATGATCATGATGTCTTTAATTAAATCGTTAATCGTGTGTAAATAAAGCACCATTGACACAGAGAAAGAACAGATCTACTGACACTAGAATCCAGCCATGACTACGACGGACTTTCAGGGTCACATCAGGAAAAAAAAAGATTAAAGTGATTAACTTATAAGAATGAGGTTATTACTAATGAGAATAAAGTCGTAAAAAAGTAATTATTTATAAGAATAAAATATTAATACAGTAATAACTTATGAGAATAAAGTCATGATAAAGTAATCTCTTATAAGAATAAAGCCTTAAATAATTTCTCATAAGAATGAAGTCGTAGTAAAATAATGAATTATAAGAATAAAGTCGCGAAAGTAATTACTTATGAGAATTAGGTTGTAATTAAGTAATTACTTATAAGAAGAAAGTTAATATAAAGTTATTACTCGTGTAATTCAAGTTGTAATAAAGTAATTATGAAGATAAAGAATGTGATTAAATTATTACTTATAAGAATAAAGTTGTAATAAGGTAATTACTGAAATGAGAGCCATAATTAGTAATTAGCCTACTTTATTCTGACTTTAGTTAGTAATGACTTTATTCTCATAAATTAACGACTTTAATCTCGAAGTCTTGTGTTGTTTCTAAATGTGGCCCTGATACTCCGTGGGACATTACAGATCTGTCTCACTTATTTCTATTCTGAGGACCGACTGTGAGGTCTGCTTCGGGCTGCTCTCACCTGTAACTGCACCGTCAGCTGATCACAGATACAGCCTCTGATTGGTTGACAGACCAAAACAAAGATGGCAGCCTGAATAGAGTACAGTCAGCTAACAACACGGGCTCACCGTAGGAGACAGCCTCTAGTGGACAGGAGAAGAACTGCAGTTTTTCTGTTCTACCCTATCATATTTTAAAATGAGAGGATATTAATGAGTCCTGTCAGCTCATTTCTGCTGCCCCCTGGTGGACAGTTGGGACATTACTGCAGGATTAGAAACTTTAGAATCTTTTAGTTTTAGGACTCTTCGTTCAGTTTTTTAGAGGAAAGTTTAGTGTGTTTGTGTCTGTGAGCACGCCACGGCCTCATCCATCCACGCTGAGCCACAAAATAAGGTGACACCACCTTAACGGAGGGCCACAGACACGCCCCCCTGAACCCAGCCCCCACCCCCACACTCATAATGAAAGACCAATTAGAGAGGAGGATTAAGGCGCTACACGTCCACACACAAATTAGCATTAATCAAAGAGTCACTGATGTGTGTGTGTGTGTGTGTGTGTGTGTGTGTGTGTGTGTGTTGTCCTCAGTGAATAGTGATGAGCTGCAGGCTCAGTGTGAAGTCGTATAATCGCTGCTGGTGTTTCTGATCGATACCACACCCACCGCCAAGCCCGGCCAATGGGAGCAGGTTTCCAGCAGGTGTGTGTGCGTGTGTGTGTTAACTCATCCTGCAGTCACGTTAAACCCGGACAAAAAGCACACGTTGGTAAAGTTTTCGGTCTCTCTCTCTTAGGTTTATCCGCTCAGCTCTCTTGTTTGAATCAAGTCCAGAGAAACCGGATCAGAACCGATCAGTTTGGGTCTGTATGAATTTACTGTAGAAACATCACAAACCGTCAGAGACCGGGGTTCAGGACTCCAGTTTTGTTAGCTGTGGTCACCGTGGTTACCGGTTAGTGTACCCTCTACATTTTCAGGGTGAGTCCAGCTCCAGGATAAGAAGTCTAACTCATGAACCGGATCAGATGGTCACGGGTCAAAATTACTGAGATGATCGACAGGAACTTTTGTGGTTCCCCCTCAAATCTGTGACCTTATGAAACGTTCACTCAGGAGAGGTTGGATCACCACCTTAGCTGTGCTTAGGGCTGAGCGATATGGGAAAAAGTTTATCACGATATTTTTTTTCCATATCAGTCGATATCGATACAGATCACAATATCAAAAATCACTTTTAACATTTAACATGAACTCGACATAATTTACAGTCCACATTACTCTGCTTCATGTCCGACCTCCAAAAACCAAAATACCTCCACACCACCGACGTTTTCCTAACGCCAGTGTTGTGGTTGACATTGATGTGGTCATCTGTTGAGCCTTCATGGTCATTTCTGTCGGGGGTAGCACTCATTTTCTTTGTTTCTCACCAACAGTGCTGTCGGCTTCACCTGTTAAAGTGCTATGGTTGGGTGGAGCTGCTGTCTGCTACGACGCTGCAGTTGGTTGATACTTGGTTCTAATTCAGAACATGATTGGTTCAGACCCGGAGAAACTCCCCTTTTCATTGGCTGTTCGTATAGTCGACCAAAACATGTCAGAATGACGACTATTGATAAGCTTATTGATCATGTTTGATATTGATATTGAGGGAAATTAATGTTGGATATATATCATTAACGTTTTATCGCCCAGCCCTACTTCCCTCTGCAGTTTACTAACTTATGGAGATTAATGTTTATATTTTGGTTTTTCGGCACCATCAGCTGGTTTTCTTTGGTTTCTGTTTGAAGAACTTTACTTGAGTTGAACTCTCTGATATTTCTGTTTCCTCCCTGATCTTTGACTCTCCTCTCTCTTTGAGATCGATCCTGCTGTTTCTCCGTCTCTGGGATAACGTCAGTGAGTGTCTGTAAGAAAATGGTCTCATGTAGTTTTCAGTCTTTAACAGGACCTGTGACCCCGACCTGATGAAGCTCAATCAGAACTTTTTAATCTGAAATCGTTGTTTTCCAAACATTTCTCTTATTTTAGTTAAATATAATTTTTCAAACACTTTTTTACACTTAAAAACACTTTAAAGATTATTATCATTCCAACATTTTGAACTCTAAATATGGACCGATCTCCAAAATGGTTTTTCACTGTCTCTGAATAAGAAAGCTGTTAAATTACTGATGTACTCCTTACTGATGAGCATCGTGTTTTTGAAGCAAAGCGAAGAGAAGGTTTGTTTTTAGATTCTGAGTCAGGGCGAAACTGAGACTCTAGACAGACAGACAGACAACAGGAAACCAGAGTGAAGAGAGACTATTACAGTGAAACTGAGACTCTGTGAGGATGTCCTTCAGTGAGAAATGTTTTTTTGACGTATTAAATTCTTCCTCTCTTTTTACATGAACCTTTGTTTGTTTGCTGTAGTTTACTCGATTTTGCTTTAGTTTCCTGGAGTTTGCTGTGGTTTTCTGTACTTTAGTGTCGTTAAGTGTACTTTAGTGTAGTTTAGTGTAGTTCCCTTAAGTTTACTGGAGTTTCCTAAAGTTAACTGGAAGTTACTTGAGTTTACTGTGGTTATCTGTAGTTTCCTGTGAGTACCTGTAGTTTGAGAACAAAGTAAAGGCCCGTTCCTGTATCAGACTCTTACAGTAGTTTGCTGTAGTTTCCTGTGAGTACCTGTAGTTTCCTGTAGTTATCTGTAGTTATCTGTAGTTTGCTGTAGTTTGAGAACAAAGTGAAGGCCCGTTCCTGTATCAGACTCTCACAGTAGTTTTCTGTAGTTATCTGTAGTTTTCTGTAGTTTGAGAACAAAGTAAAGGCCCGTTCCTGTATCAGACTCTTACAGTAGTTATCTGTAGTTTGCTGTAGTTTTCTGTAGTTATCTGTAGTTACCTGTAGTTTTCTGTAGTTATCTGTAGTTTTCTGTAGTTTGAGAACAAAGTAAAGGCCCGTTCCTGTATCAGACTCTCACAGTAGTTTTCTGTAGTTATCTGTAGTTTGCTGTAGTTATCTGTAGTTTCCTGTGTGTACCTGTAGTTTGCTGTAGTCTGAGAACAAAGTAAAGGCCCGTTCCTGTATCAGACTCTTACAGTAGTTTGCTGTAGTTTGCTGTAGTTATCTGTAGTTTCATGTAGTTTCATGTAGTTATCTGTAGTTTGAGAACAAAGTAAAGGCCCGTTCCTGTATCAGACTCTCACAGTAGTTATCTGTAGTTTTCTGTAGTTATCTGTAGTTTGCTGTAGTCTGAGAACAAAGTGAAGGCCCGTTTCTGTATCAGACTCTTACAGTAGTTTTCTGTAGTTTCCTGTAGTTTGCTGTAGTTATCTGTAGTTACCTGTAGTTTGCTGTAGTTATCTGTAGTTACCTGTAGTTTGAGAACAAAGTGAAGGCCCGTTCCTGTATCAGACTCTCACAGTAGTTATCTGTAGTTGTCTGTAGTTTTCTGTAGTTACCTGTAGTTTGCTGTAGTTTGCTGTAGTCTGAGAACAAAGTAAAGGCCCATTCCTGTATCAGACTCTTACAGTAGTTTGCTGTAGTTTGCTGTAGTTATCTGTAGTCATCTGTAGTTTGCTGTAGTTTTCTGTAGTTATCTGTAGTTTCCTGTAGTTGTAGTTTCTGTAGTTTCCTGTAGTTATCTGTAGTTTGCTGTAGTTTTCTGTAGTTTTCTGTAGTTTGAGAACAAAGTAAAGGCCCGTTTCTGTATCAGACAATCACAGCTCTGATATCAGCAGGTTCAACTCCGACACAAAGCCCTGACTGTGGAGGGAAATCTGCTGATTAAAGAGCTAATATACACCCCTCCCTCCCTCCTCCTCCTCCTCCTCCTCTTCATCCCTCTCTTTCTCCTCCTCCTCCTCTTTGTCTCCTTCAAGGTTCTTCAAACAGAGCTGGTCAGGATTTAAGGCGTCTGATCTTTAAATATGATTTTATCTCCCTGCAGAGGAGACATTTACTCTGACAGGTCGACGTCTCCCCTGAGGAGGAAACTTACCCTCCTCCTCCTCCTCCTCTTCTTCCTCCTCCCTCTCTCTCCTCTCATCTCCTCCTCTCTTATTATCTCGTGTCATCTTGACTCTCTCTCCTCCACATCCTCTCATCCCTCTTCATGTGCTCTCTCTCTCTCTCTGTCCTCCTCACCTCATTTCTCCTCCTCCTCCTCCTCCTCCTCCTCCTCTTCCTCAGGTACTTGCTGTGATTTACAGCCTGACTCTCTCTCTCTCTCTCTCTCTCTCTCTCAGAGTGAGCGCTCTGTCTGCAGAGACAAACTTCAGCTGCTCTCTGCAGGACCAGCCCACACCTCCTTCGGCTCATTCCTGTTCTCCTTTTTCTCCTTTTTCACTCCAACATTTTCTATCACTCTGTTTTTTATTGTTTCTTCTCTTCTCCTTCATTCTCTCTATTTCTCTTTTCCGGGTTTCTTTCTGTCTTAACTCGCTTCTTCTTTCTTCAACTTAAAATTCTCTTACTTTTCTTTTTTCTTTGCTATTTACTTTTTCATTTCTTCCTTTCTATCTTTCCTGCGAATGAGTCAACTTTCTTTCTTTCTTTCTGTCTGTCTTTCTTTCTTTTTCTTTCTTTCCTTATTTTTAAATTTTCTTTCTTTCTTTTATTTTTTTTACTTTTTCTTTCTTTCTTTTCATTTCTCCTTCTCTTTTTTCCAGTTTTTCTTTTTCTCATCTCTCTCTTTGCTGTCTTTTTTTGTGTTTTTCTTAATTATCTGTCTCTCTGTCTTTTATCTTTTTATTATGTCTTTCCATTAATATTTTTTTACTGTTAATTTTATTTTCTTTCTTTTCTTTTTCTTCTTTGTTCTTTCTTCGTATTCTTTGAGCCATGTTAGACCAAATTTGATTTTAAATAAAGACAAAAAAACAAGTTTCTAACGTCAGATTTTGTTTTTCATTCTCAGTATTTTTGTCCTGAAATGTTTGTGTTAAAATATTCAAAATAATAAAATAAGACAAACAATTTTAATCGTACAGTTGACGTTCCTTCTTCTGTCAGAGTGTCAGCAGGTTTGCTTTTTTTCCAAACATGAACTTTTATTAGAAAATAAAATAAAATAAAAAAAATAAGCTGTGACAATTTTCATATTTAACAAATCATGATTTACGCTAAAATTTTAAAATATGTTTCCATGGATGAAGCATTAAATTAAATTGTACACACACAGACACACACACACACAGCTGAGCTCTGAATGCCACCCAGCGACAGACCGAGTGTGAATATTGAGCTGACTTATCTGGTGACACACCAGGCCTGACTGTCCAAATTAACACACGCACACACACACATACAGTTTACACACACACGCACACCCAGGCACACACACACAAACCCAGGGATTATAGAGGGAAAGACAGACCTCAACCCTGGGACTTTTTTATGGTATGGACCCCATTCAACACACTTACTCACACACACACATACAAATACACACACACACTCACACACACTCACACATGCAGCATGATGAAGGTTTGCGTGAAGCTTCCACCTTATCGGCAAAGTTTCCTCCTCTCCGTTCCAACTGACACAACTGTAATTTCATGCCCTCTGTGTTTCCCTTACAGACTCTGTGTGTGTGTGTGTGTGTGTGTGTGTGTGTGTGTGTGTGCGTGTGTGTGTGTGTGTGTGTGTGTGTGTGTGTTTCGCCCCTATCAACCTCCATGAATACAAACCCAGTTGATTATTATTCAAATGTTTTTGTCTCACAGACAACAGACGCAGCAACATGAAAAACACATGGAGGAGATTAAAAACACTCTTCACGCCGCCGCCATCGTCACACCGCCACGACAGAAACAAAGGGGGGAGGGGCAATCAGTGTCCTCTCAAGTTGTTGAGATCTAAATATTTTTGGACACAAAAATGAAGCTAAAACTGATGTCCCAAAAACTGCAGTTCCTCCCTTGTCCACTAGAGGCTGTGTCCATTAGTGAGTCTGTCCCCATACAGCCCCATGTTAAACTGTACAGTTAAAAAAAAACATGTTTACAGATTGAAACAGAAACTTTAATAAACTTCTATAACTTTATAACTAATGATTAAAACTGACAGTGACGGCCAATAACCTGCAGCTCCAGAGTCACATGTGGATATTTTCTCTGTCCTGTCATTTAAAACAGTTCAATAAAATCAATTAACCTATAAAATAAAAATCAATAAATCAATTAAATAAAATAAATTAACCAATGAAAAAACTATTAATTAACCAATCTAATAAAAATCAATTAACCAGTTAAATAAAAATCAATTAATCACTAAAATAGGAATCAGTTAATCAATAAAAAACAATTAAACAATGAAAAAAAACTGTCAACCAATGCAATAAAAATAAATTAACCAATTAATTAAAAGAGAATTAAATTAAAATCAATAACAAATAAGATAAAAATTAATTAACCATCTAATAAACAAATTTTGAAGGGCCACAGGGGCCCCTGATGTGGAGTGTATTTTATATTTAGAGATTCATAAGAGATTTAAAATAATCAATGCAATTAATACTAATACTATAAATACTATTGTGATGTGAAAATAAATCAAACACCTACAGCAGAAATTTTAGACCTACAACAACATTTTCGAGTTTTTATTTAGACAACGAAAAAAACTGAGAAAAGGGACGTTTGCACTGCACCTTTAATCCATTACAAGGCGTTACAACCCCCCCCCTACACACACACACACACACATACAGTTTACACATACACATATACACACACACACATACAGGTTTACAGTGAGGAGAAGCATACTGAAACTATTAAGACACTCCCTGTTTCAGCTTTCTCCTCTTCCTGGAGTGTGTGTGTGTGTGTGTGTATAAACTGTGTACGTGTGTGTGTGTCTCCTGTGAAGCGTGCTACAGTATGATAATTGAATTTTGATGAAAGCCACATGGCTGCTAACTCGACATGGAAATAAAAGACACACACTCTCTCTCTTTTTCTCACACACACACACACACACACACAGTGTTAGTGTGTATTCATGGATTATATTGAAACAGAAGACACTGCAGGCTTTAAAAACACTTTTCTGTCCTCTGAGCCTCCACACACACACACACACACACACACACACACAAACACACACACACAGATGAGCGTTTGCGTTTCAGTCGTTTGATTTTTAGGAAGTGTTTTTTTTTATTTACAATAATCAATAATGACAGAAAAACAACTTTATTTATAACTCCTGAAAAAACAAATGACATAAACAAAGAGGACGACAGAGTGAATTAAAGCTCCAGTCAGTGACGAACGGTGACTGTTTGATGAGGTCACAGTCTGGGCGGAGCTTTAGTCATAAACTGTCATTCAGAGCACAGATTAGCGTAATAACCCTTTAATCAGCGCTTACTTCACTGACCTGCAGAAAAAACAGAAAACAACACTCAGGGTCACTGAACCAAACTGTGACGGACCGGACCCTCAGAACTCTTCACTGTAACCCATCAGAGAGGACGCTGGGAAAAAGGAGCGCCGTCACTCCTTTATTCCCAGAGAGACCGTCGGCGTGTTGACTCTTCGCTCTGATATCTAACAGCTGAGGGCGAACAGAGACCGCGCCGACCTTCAGACCTCCGAGTTTCTAAACCTCACTCCTGATCTGTCGTCACGTACAAATATGACCCTAAAATAATCTAACAAAGGTTCCTCAGCTGTTTTTCATAGTATTAGACGTCCTTTATAACAAACCCAAAGTTGACCAAAGTTTGACCATGAGAAAGGCGTCATTTTCAAGATGGCGTCCATGATGGTAGGAAGGGTAAAATTTTTAACTTACAGATATCACCATGAAAAGGGGGCTGCCGCCATCTTTGTTTCAAAATGAGGTTTCAGTCAGTGAAGGGGTCATGTGATCAGTGGCTTTACCCTGTTCCTGTTAGTGGGCGTGTCCAAGTGTGTTCACAGAGACAGGTGTGGCTTCCTGTACGTCTCGTTGGTGATGGACAGGCGGGTCAGCCGGGCGCCGTAATAGTCCACGATGTAATCCGATCCGTCTGCAGGACCGACGATCTGCAGGAGGAGAAGACAGAGAAGGACATTCACACCTGAGAGACGGGTGAGACAGACTGAGACGGGTGAGACAGACTGAGACAGACTGAGACGGGTGAGAGGAGGGAGACAAAGACACTCGATGATGAAGATCTGTTTCTGAGGTTCATGTATCCTGGTCACTTCAGTCTGATGGTCACATGATGTTCCGTCTGTCCCGCCTAACAGGAAGGAGTGATTCACGCCGCCTTCACCTCCTGCTCCCCTTTCTCCATCTGTCTGTCCCCGTCCTCTCAGAGTCCATTAGAAGCTTCTAGAAACATCAGTCATGCTGCAGAGACGCAGCGCCTCAGAGACGCAGCGCCGCTCACCACAGACGTAAATAATCTTCAGAAGGCCGACGCCCCTTTTTTCATCAGCCGCGCTCTCCTGCAGGGCGGTTAGCCGCTAAAATATGAGGCTACGCTAACGCCGCCGCCGTGAGCCGCTCAGATGGATCATTCAGAGAAAAGGAGCAGGGGGGAGGAGAGAGAGGGAGGAGAGGAGAGAAGGAGAGAGGAGAGAGAGGGAGGAGAGGAGAGAAGAGAGGATCTATGTTTCAGATCTATGTCAGTGACTCTCACCTGCATGGCGATCAGGATGAAGTCGATCAAAGTCCCGATTCCACAGAAACCGACGGTGCAGAACTTCAGCAGACCTGGGGAGGGGGGGGGGGGTAACCAGGTGAGTAAAGGTCAAAGGTCACCGCCATAGTGAGTGTCCTACCTGTGTTTCTGAACTCTACCCTGTTTGATGTTTTTAGACTTCCTTCAATTGAAGGATCAGTCTGTACTCTCTGCTCTGTGGCCTGTAGGGGGCGCTGGTCAGACTTCCTGTTTTAAACTCCTTTAATCTGGTTTAATCTGGTTTAATCCGGTTTAATCTGGTTTATTCTGGGTTAGTGTGACTGTTGAAGGTTTTTTAACAAACTCCTTTTCTGAAATTCATTTTCAGGAAAAATCTGGTTTGGCTCAGATCGAACAAACGTGAGCCAAACGAGGCAGCTGTCCTCCATCCAGACCACACACACACACCCACGCACACACACACACACACACTGACACACACTCACACACTCACAGCCTTTGTATTCCTGCAGGTGTGTGGTTAAAGAAGGATGAGTGTGGCTCAGTCTCACTCTTGTGTTCATCATAAATGTTATTATTACTCTGTATTGTGTGGAGATCAGTGACAAACAAAAACACAATTCAGGCTGAAAAAACTCCAAATATGGACTTCCTGTTTCCATCAGCGCTCAGGGAGACAAAATGACCATTAAAGGGATATTCAGGCGTAAAATTAATCTAGGGTCAACCCCACCTTAACACCGAGTTAGACCCCCCCTCCAGAGATGAATGTTGTTGACCGCTTGCTTCTCTACAGAGACCTCAGGCCAGTCCATTACAGACTACAGCGGGGTGCCGCAGCTCAAGGAAGAACATTTATGATCATTTCTTCATGGAAATACAATCAGACCGAGACGCTGAGACAGAAGAACTACCGCGTCTGTAAAATGATTAATATGGAGATTATTACTTCAGGGAAATGATAAAGAAATGATCATAGATGTTCTTCCTTGAGCTGCGTCACCCCGCTGTAGTCCGTAATGGACTGGTCTGAGGTCTCTCTACAAACAAGTACTAACATCCACTGTGACTAAAACCCTGAAGACTGACGATAACTCAGACAAGCACGCTTCAAAATCACTGAATGTGTGTGTGTGTGTGTGTGTGTGTGTACGTACGTGTGTGTGTACATGTGTACGTGTGTGTGTGTGTGTGTGTGTGTATGTGTGTGTGTGTGTGTGTGTGTGTGTACCTAGAGCAGGATATCCCAGGTAGAAGCGGTCGGCTCCGAGCCAGCCCAGGAACAGAGACAGAGCCACAGCGACCTTATAGGAGTAACCGCTCCTGAGAGGAAACACCAGAGTGATCAGACATGATCCTATTGATCTTATTGATCATATTGATCAGAGCAGTATCATTATCACTGTGAACATAAATGTCTTTGTTTTAGATTCAGGAAGAGAAAATCTGAAAACTCTGATAAATCAACCCTGAAGCTGACAGTTTATCCTCTGAACAGGAGGTGTGTGTGTGTGTGTGTGTGTGTGTGTGTGTGTGTGTGTGTGTGTGTGTGTGTGTGTGTGTGTGTGTGTGTGTGTGTGTGTGTGTGTGTGTTTGTGTGTATCAGAGCACTCACACATTCCTGCAGGGGATGGTTTTGTTGAAGCCCACCTCCTCACCGCTGAACCTGAACTCTGTCCCGTTAGAAAGCCGACAGCTGATGTTCGGAGCTGGGAGGCACTCCACTGTAAACACACACAAACACACACACACACACACACACACAAACACACACACACACACACACACAGGTAGACTATTAGAACAATCTGAATCTCTACAGTCGACTGATAAGAAGAGAATAAGGTTGAATCTGAAGGTTGTAGCAGCAGGTTAAAGATGGTTTTCTGTACATGAGTTTTCCTCAATTTCCACCGCATCCAGAACGGCGGCGATTTTCACCGTCTGCCAATTTCTACCGCATCCGTTTGTGAGGCGAATTTCGTGGCGGATTTCAGACAGTGGGAATCGCAAAAACTCACAAGAACCCGCAGATTCACGTTCAATCTCACGATAACAAGTTGTCTCTATAAAGACAGACACATAGACATATAAGCAGTAGATTGTGTCCTTCCAGAGGAGGAAATCTACTTCTAGACTTCTAGAATCAGCATCTCCTCATCCATGGTGTCATCGGGGTGAAATGACGTCTAAAAACCTTTCACTTGTTCGTCTCCGCCCGTTTGCATGGTGTGAAATACGATCCTCCTGAAACACGGAGCGTTTTATTTTGAAAAGAAGCCGGATGTTTTATTTTGTGTCTGTGCCCGACTTCCTTTCCAGCACGGGTTAATCTGTGCTGAATTTATCCGCCATGCTCCGGCGTCCAGAAAAAATAGAACTCTTGTGATCAGCTGAGGAGTCCGGCGATCCGCAGAGGAACGGAAAGAAGTCGGTGTAAATTGACACGTTAACTTGAATGGTTACGATCAGCTACGATCGGAGGATACGACCTTTTAGGAGACCATCAGGATGAAGGTGGAAGTTAAAGGTGATCACGTGTTTTTTATTTTCACCTCCGAGCTGAAGGGTTAACAGATCTGTTTAACAAAACTCTTTGATTAAGATTATTTTCCCATAATTTTCACTTCCAAAGCCCTTTCAAAATAAAATGATTAAATAACATGTAACATAGTCAGTGTGTTTTATGTTTGAGGGACTGAAACCCTCCCAGAGGTCAAACAGAGGACGTCCTGCAGCGTGTGAAGAGTCCACTCACCCCAGGCCGTCATGTCTTTGCAGGTCTCCGGCTCCTGAGTGGACTCATCGATCTTTGGATCTTTGCAGAGATACCTGAGAGGAGTGAAGGATCCAGACCAGGAGACCACTGACTGAACATCCAAACCAAACACGCTGTAGGCATTAAACTGTCATAAAATAACCTGAAATATGACCGCAGCAGCACCTCAGTCTACACATGCTGTCCCTCGCCATCTTTGAACTCTCCTCCTGTCCTCACAGTTCGTTCAGATTTACCCAACATTCAGTTTACAGTCTGCAGCAGGTGAACAAGTATGAACTTTACAGTTTGCCAAAAACACCCGGATGACGTGCTGATTCAGGAAAATTTCACAGTATGTATCGGACCAGTCTGCTTCGCCTACTGTTACCCACAATGCAAAGTGCCTGGGCAGACGGCGGAATAATGGAGAGCGTTAAAACGTTTGAGCGGAGCGTTCATTAAGAGGACAGCTAACAGATCCGTCCTCTGACAGCCTGTCTTCTTCTTCTTCTTCTTCTTCTTCGTCTTCTTCTTCTTCTTTCTGTGTGAAAACCGCTGACAAGAATGTCTGTTTTCATACCGGACAGTTTTTATCCTCTATTTCCATCAAAGCCTCAAATTTTCCGCCTTCTCCTCGTCCTCTAATCTGTACGGTACGCCTGATGTTGACCTCACACGGCGCACGCCATCAGCCATGTTTCCAGACAACTGACATTAGAGGGGGTCTAAAGCTTTAATGCAGAAAGGAGAGTAAACGTTAAAACAGTCGGACTCAATCAGCAGACAAGACGCTATTTGACCATCTGAACGTCTGCTGTATTTACAGCGCCGTGATGAGAATCAAACGCCGCCAGATCATCGACGAGTCGTTGCAGAGACAGAACATGTTCTGATGGTTTTGGACTAAAAAAATCCAGAAAAAAATCAAATTAAAACAAGAATTTTTTTCAGTGTGTAAATGAACGAACAACTCTGTGGCGTCGCTTTAATTTACCAGAGTATGACGGACTTTTTCATACTGGAAACCAGTTAAACCAGACCAACCATACTACAGAATAACAGTCAGACTGAATACTACTATAGAACACAGTACTCAGTATACAGTATGTACTGAACACTGCGGTTGGCAGGAGTACACAGGAGGCCGATTCAGAAACAGACTTTTCTTAAATGACTACAAACACTTTTTAACTGAGTGGTTTTATATTTAAATACAGCAGCAGTTTAATCAATAGTGATTTATAAACATGATGTCATTATAACAAATTTATACCCTCAACACTGATGTCTGCAGTAGATATCACTGTGATGGTGTTTTACTCTTATTTAACTGTGTTTAAGTATTATTCTACAGTGATTTACTGTCAGTTAACAATGTTTTACCGTTATTTAATAATGTTTTACCGTCATTTAAATGTGTTTTAGCGTTTTTAATAGTGTTTTATCATTATTTAACTGTTTTATCGTTATTTAATAGTGTTTTATCATTATCTAACTGTTTTATCGTTATTTAGCGGTCATTTATCGTGTTCGTTGCTGTAATTTAGTGGTTTTTTACCTGCTGTTGTCTTTACTTTATCTCAGTCTGATTAACAGAAAACGATAAAGACCACACGTAGACATAAATGGGTCTAGATGTCCACACTCTGGCGTTTATAAATGTGGACAAACCAAACGGTTAAATAACGTAAAACATCAAAAACACCAGTTTACTAAATCTGTACCTGTATAATAACACACAGCCTTTTTATCTGTCCTAACTAACCTTCAAACACACACTAAAATCAGCTGATATATCAGGTTTAATGATGTTTAATTTGTCTTTGATAAACAGTAAAGATGATAACTGTAGCTAATGTTAGCTGACCCTCCCGTTAATTAACCTCCTGATTAATATAAACGTTAAAATCAATAATAATAATAAAGGATACTGTCCGAGTTTCAGGTCGTCGCAGCTCTCCACCTCCTCCGTTAAAACCACTTCAAAGTGAGAATAAATAAAGTAAAATAAGAGACTGTAGAAGCCTGAACGTAAACACAGCTGCAGTCTCCGGGAGGACGCCATGTCTGACTCTGTCACGTGACTGTGGTGACTTCACGGTCACACACACACGGTGGGGAAATGGAGAACTCGAGCACAACAACGATAACGGATATGGAGGGTTTCACAAGCTTCTAACGGACACACTGTTGCCTTAATAATAATTATAACAATTATACAATAATAATGGATTTTATTTATATTGTACTTTACATCGGAGAAAACAGATCTCAAAGTTCATACGTAAAAGGCAATCGTAAAAACAACCAATAAAAAGAACAACAGTCAGCCTTAATCACGGTTCAATAACTAAATAAACATTATTTTGGATTATTTTTTATAACAGTTTTATTTTCACACAACATTAAAATCAGTGACTGTTGAGTTTAATCTTTCATTGAACTTTGTAAAAATGGAAAATTGGGGACAAAATTAAACCAGATCTATTTAAATAAGTCTATATCTAGTTTAAAAAAAAAATGCATGTATTTTCTGTTCTACCTATTTTTACAGTTATTCATTTTACTTTTTAGTGGCAGCATTAAAGAAACGACACAACATATAATTATACATATTAAAAATGTGGAAAAATAAATATATGTAATTTGTTGTTTTAAATGTTTATTATGCTTTAAACCAGTGGTTCTCAACTGCTCTCACTCCGGGACCTACATTTTCCCATGATCCTTCAGTCATGACCCACTTTTATAAAATTCAAACATAGAAAATTTGTGTATTATAAAAAAAAAACCTTTAAAGACTCAAATCTTTGACATAAATACACCGTTTTTATTGAGTAAAGTGTATTTCAGAGCAGATGAACTGAAGACGACAACGACTGCAGAAAATATCAAGTTGTACAAAATGGAGACCAAAAAATATAAAGTTTTTACTTATTTGTATCTCTGCATTCAGAAGAACCTGAGGAGCACGAAAGTGAATAAATATCAAATTAAACATTAAAAAAACATGTACTTTTTCTGCATTCAGGCCACATTAATAAGAAACCGAGGAGGACCACAACATAACACGCGCCTTTCAAAATAAGATATCTTTTCAAAATAAAAGACATGTCATGTTACTTTTTTTTAACCAGCTGTTCACTACCCACTTTTGGGTCAGGACCCACCTGTTGAGAACCGCTGCTTTAAATCATATCTGTTTTTGTCATACAGATTATTTTGAGATTATAAACTATAATACCTCATCATTGTTTTAAGGACTGTTTACACCTGAAGCTCGTGTTTCCCACAGCACTCAAACGCAGCATTAAAGCGACACTAGTCCCGATCCGGGTCCACTTCATGTGAGTTTCTGTCTCTTTTAAAGCCTCTAAAATCACCTGTTTACTGGGGTTACAGGACGGACTGACGGCGGGGTCTCCTCTCTGTGTTTTTACTGAAAACAGAACCGAACCGGGACTTTAGGTTCTGATTTAGGAGCTGAGAGAGTTAGCATGCTAACGGTTAGCGGAGAGTTCTGAGAAGTTACCGAGCTGATGAAGATGAAGATGAAGAGGGTTAATGTTGGTTAATGAGGGCTCATGTTGGGATTGTTCTGATTGAAACTCTCTAAAGTCCACTCTGATCCGGGTTCTGGTTGAATGACGTGTGTCTCTGAGGTTCCGGTGCACCTGTTGGACCGGACCGAACCTGCTGCAGCTCCATAAACGAACTTTAACGGTTTTTAAAAGTTCTTTTTTTCGGATATTCGACAGTTTTAAACAGGAAACTGTTTTTTATTTACCGAGGGTTTCAGCCCCTCCTCCCTCCACTCTGAGTTTCACTTCCTGGTTTCTCAGGTGAGCTCACAGGTAAGCCTCCCGCGCGCACACAGTCCCAGATTTGAAGACGTAAAAGAGGACTTGTGTTTGTTTTTCTGTGTTTAAAGTCAAAGGAATGTGGTGGAGTTAGTTTTCCCTCCAGTTTGAGCCGATAAAGGGTCACCTGGGTCACCTGGTTCTCTGTAAACACACCTGTCTGATAAAAGTCACCTGAGATAAACACAGGAGGAGAAAACAGCGTCTGTACAGAGTGAGGTTTAAGTTTGATCCGCAGGTAACAGCATACAGGTGTTCTAGAGAGGGTCACCTGTCACAGGTGAGCAGAGGGAGGGTTCGAGTTCTGACCCAGAAATGAGAAGAGAGAGTCAGGTTCTGAAGGTGAAAGTACGAGACATCCGTGTTTGATAAAGGAACCACAGCAGCTACGTTTACAGTTATCATCATCATTATTATTATTATTATCATTATCATCATTATTATTATTATTATTATTATTATCATTATTATTATTATTATTATTATTATTATTATTATTATCATTATTATTATTATTATTATCATTATTATTATTATTATCATCATTATTATTATTATCATTATTATTATTATTATCATTATTATTATTATTATTATTATTATTATTATTATTATTATCATCATTATTATTATTATCATTATTATTATTATTATCATTATTATTATTATTATTATTATTATTATTATTATCATTATTATTATTATTATTATTATTATTATCATCATTATTATTATTATTATTATTATTATTATTATCATTATTATTATTATTATTATTATTATCATTATTATTATTATTATTATTATCATTATTATTGTTGTTGTTGTTGTTGTTTTGGTAGAGCAGATCTGATGGAGGAGATGTTCTTCTACTTGAACACAGTACAGGATCAGGACTGTAGGAGTGTGTTGGTAAAGTCCACATCAGTTCCTCAGCAGGACTCTCCTCCTACTGAGCCATGATGTTGTCAGAATGTGGTCCTGGGTCATCTGAAGGTCTTCTCTGAAACAGTCTTGGTCTGGATGGACACAGATGTTGGTCCTAAACCTGGAGATAGTTCAGCATTAATGGAGCTTCTGACCTGTTTGTTTTTTCCCCTGCTCTCCAAACATGTCGTTGACCTTAGATGTGAAATAATTAGATTTTCTCAGATCAGAAACAGTTTTTTCTGTTGAATTTAGGACGAGGTGGATTGACTGCTTTCCTTTAACAGGGTTCAGGTTCACGTGCATCGGTGACTTGTTCATTTATCAGTCTGGTTTGAGTTTTAAAAAGTGATTTATTTTTCCAAAAAGAAAAGAAAACACGCTGATTTAGGTCCAAAACTTTTGCCTTCGAATGAAAAAGTGATGAGATGAAAATGAGGTTAAAACAGGAACGAGTGAAAATGAGAAAAACGGTCAACAGAAAATTATCAGAGCTGACCACAAACCACCTGTCCGACTACAGCGGTGACCTGCCAAACAAAAAACCACACCCCTCAGTGACCACACCCCTCAGTGACCATCCCAGGAAGTGACGAACCTACAGAAATCAAACTTTCAACAAACACATCGATATATTTTGGTTCCTACGACTTTGATGTTTTGCAAACGATCAAAATTTTTCTTATTGTGGTTTAACTCGTCTGAGTTTTTTAATTTGAAGTTCTGACTTAAACTGTTTAAAGTTAACAGACGTAGAAAAACTCCTGAAGGTTCCTGGGTCACAGATTCAGGAACTCTTTAGTGTTTAAAGGTCAGACAGACTGGAGAAGGAAAGGACACGGATTATTAAAGGGACTGGACTGGACTGGGTTAAACTGGTCTGAACTGGACTGGACTGGACTGGGTTAAACTGGTCTGAACTGGACTGGACTGGACAGGGTTAAACTGGTCTGAATTGGACTGGACTGGTCTGTTCTGGTCTGAACTGGACTGAACTGGACTGGGTTAAACTGGTCTGAACTGGACTGAACTGGACTGGGTTAAACTGGTCTGAACTGGACTGGACTGGTCTGTTCTGGTCTTTGCCTGTGTTTTCACTTTTCTGTTTGACCTGAACTTTGACCCGATCCAAACTTGGTTCTTCTTGTCTCCTCTGAACCAGGTCTGTGTGTCTGAGTCCTTATTGAAGGTCTTTGTGTTCCAGACTAACGGAGAGAGTCCGGGTCCACAGCCGCCATGTTTGAAAACGTCCCCGCAGGTGAGTCCTCTCAGGTCTTCAGACTTCAGGTAAGTCCTGGTCTCTGATGATGACGGTGGTCTTCTCGGTCCTCAGTGTCCTCGGCGGAGCGCCAACAGGTTCTGGGAGCTCTGGAGCGTCTGCAGGCCAAACTGGTCCAGAGGGAGGAGTGGACCCACAGCGAGACCATGGGGAACCTGAGAGAGACCCTGCAGAGCCCGCTTCTGAACCACATCCTGACCCTGCAGCACTCCATCAAACAGCTCAGGAACCAGGTGAGGGTCCAACTAAAACCCGAATCCTCTTCAGAACCAGGTTCTGATCCGGTTCCTCACATGAAGTCTAAAAAGAACTCATGGGTGACAGGATCAGAAAATGAACCAGATCCAGGACTCTGACACAGACTTTAACGGTTCTCACCTGCACAGGAAACAGGAAGTCTTCGTCGTTCTTCTTCTGAGTTTTAGATGTTTAATCTTTTTCAGGAAGTTCAGAGAGAGTCATGTGACCGTTCTGAGAAAAACGACCACAGATCATCACGCAGGTCGTTTACAGTCTCAGTTTAATCGGACTAAACTCATAATTCGTCTTTTTCCGACTTCTCTCCTCGTCCTCGTTTACATGCAGCTGAGAAAACTGAATTATTGACGTGAACGTGTCCTCCTCCCCAACACTAGGGGGCGATATGGGTCTTTTCAGCGGCGCTGTTTCCGACCCCATCCAACCGTCAACAACAACAGCAGGTCGGTGTCAGACGTCAGAAGTGTCTACAACTGCTGCTGGACATTTTGGAGAAACAAGAAGATGGAGCATCGTACAGCGTTGTTTTTGTCCGACATGATGGACGCGCTACTTTTTCTAAAGAGGAGACCAACGCTACTCCTCTACTCTGGGGGTTTGTTACGGGGTTACGGGGGCGTGGCGTCATACTCCGACTACGCTGGTTACATGGTAGAGAAAATCAAATTCCAATCACATTATCTGAGTGTTTTAATCAGAGTTCTCAAACTCCGATTATAGTCGGACTAAGGTGTTTACATGACCTTCAGTTGTCCGGTCTTCATCGGAATAAGGCGATAATTCGGTTTT